TGATGCAGCCCCAGCTTAGACTGCATGTCATAATTTTGAAAGGAGTACCATAAAATCAGGAAGAGCCACATATAAAGACTGTTCTTTTATTTTCTTGTTTCTAATGCTGCTTTTAGATTCTGTGGGTGGATTATTCCATGAAAAATAGAGATCTTGGATAAGCAAGATTGAAAAGGCTGAGGGGGTGGTGAATGCATTGTTTCTTCATACTCAACTTTGATGGAACAACAAAAAATCTCCCAAATGATAACTTGCTGTGGCATTATAAATAATCTTTCATCTTCTTTGGTGGTCCACAGAGTTTATATAATTGGAAGGCTAAAGCCTTTCTTTGTTGTTTCTTGCGTTTTCATTAGTACAGTAGAAGACTATAAAATTGTGCAGCCAGAAGGGGTTTAACAATTACTGAGTCAACATTTGAAAGCCTCACTCTATTTTATCATTTATGCATGTGCTTTTTATGAGTTTTACAGCCCTGCAGGCGTTGCTTAAGCAAGGTCCATTGCAGTGGTGGATCTATAACTGCTTTTTTTTTATTTTGCTCTCCTTGGTGCCCTGTGCCATCAGCAAGAGTCACAATTCCACACTCATAAAGAAATTACAGGCTTGAGATGGTAATTTTTGTGGAAGATTCAGGAGTGCTAATTTCAGTTACTAAAATGTTTATCAGCCTTTCTAAGGAGCCTTTGGCAAATCCCATAATGTGTGACTCAGTTTCCTTCTGGTAAACTGTTAATAATCCTGTCTTTCTTTGTGAATGTTGTGGGTAATTCAGTGATGAGTGAAGAACACTCAGTGACACATAAAAACCCAGATCTCTCTGAAAGAAGCTGGCAATTGTCTTGCAGCAGGTAGAGGTGTGGCGGGATCTGGGCCATAGCAAGGCTTGGGCAGAGTGCACAGCACCTGTTGTGGAGCACCGTGGCATTCATGGGCAGGAGCAGAGCCTGCAGTGCAGATAATCCATCCTGTGCAAGCTCTGGGCACAGCTCTCACTGCTGCCAGCTGTTCCCTGAGTTCTCCCAGCTCTCCACCATCCCTCATGCCTGCCTACCTTGTGTTCTCCAAGCTTGGTGGGACTCTGGGGGAAAGTGTAGAGCTCAGCCTATTCTGATGTTTGCTATCACAAGAGGCAGAGGGATTGCACACAAAGATTACCTTTACAAAGTCTTCATTTGTGCTGGATGGAGCATAGGACTCTTCCCCTTCTCAGAGAGCTGAGGAGAACACCACAGGGTTGAATGGATAACACCTGGTGCCACCACCTTGTCTAATAATTCAGTATGTTTTTCTGTCATAAACTGAACTTTTATTGTGCAATCATAGCAATTAATCTGCCCAAAACTTTAAGATCTGGTGCATATTGAGCAGGGCATGTGTTGGAAGGGGTGATATTTACAGGCCCTTGCTGTGGGAGATGTGCCTCAGTACCATGAACCCCATCAGATGCTGCCACAGGTCCTGCTCATCAATCTCAGATAAAAACTACCTCCTCAAACCCCAAATCTATTTGAACATACCACCTTTAGCATTTAGATATGGGAAATAGCTGGACATACTGTAGTTGGAGGGGAAGGGAAGAAATGAGACACACAAAAGGACAGTAGCAGGCAACCATCTGTTTCTTTTTAGTTTATTGACATTGAGCAAAGGTAGCAGGCTGTGTCCATCTGTGTGTGGGGAATTCCTAGGTGCAAGAGGTGATCAGCAAGCTTCTCCTTGCAGTCCCCAGGTAACTGTGTTTGGCTCTCTCCACCTTTCTTTTTGCCTGGTCCTTCAGTTCCCTTGCGATGTGGAAAGCAGGAATGTGAAGTTATGGTCCTGAATGTGAAGTTATGGTCCTGAACTCCTCCTCTGGAACTGGCTCTTTCTCTGCAGGCATCAGAACAGAGAGGAGAAGTATTCCTGTCAGGGAAAGGAGGGGTAGAGTGAGAAGAGCAGCAGAGGAGAGAATCCTGCTCCAGTGGCAGTGCAAACCTGGATTATGCCATGGAGAAATGGCTCCTGCCAGAGCACTGCAGGGATTGCCAGGCAGCCCAGGCTGGAGGATGGCTCCAGAAGGAGCAGGGAGCCAGGCCTTGTGCCCAGGCCTTGCAGAATGGCTCCAGGGGGAGCAGGGAGCCAGGCCTTGTGCCCAGGCCTCACAGGATGGCTCCAGGGGGAGCAGGGAGCCAGACCTTGTGCCCAGGCCTTGCAGGATGGCTCTAGAGGGAACAGGGAGCCAGGCCTTGTGCCCAGGCCTTGTGCCCAGCCTGCCCAGGGTTGCAGTCCCCTTGGATGGAGGTGTGGGATGCTCCCAGTGCCCCCTGAGCCCTGGTGCTGGGGGAGCAGGGAGGACAGGAGGCGAAGCCAGCAGGATGTTTTTGTTCCTCAGACCTTCCAAGGGCTTGCTTCACTTTCATCTAATAGTGGGAGGAGTTCTGGCAAACAGGATCAGGCTGTTCTACATATGTTTTGACTCTTCTTGTTTTATGTTTCTTCTATGAAAGAGACTGCAACCAAGTTCTTGTCATTTTTTAGATCAATGTTTTGTTAAACTACGACAGCTATCCATGACAGAGAGCCAAGTAACTTTTGCAGCTGACCACAAAACTGAGTCTGACTTGTGGTGCTTAGTCATTTCTTATATTTTTTTTTACATGACATACTCCATGTGTGTATGTGTTTTTGTTCTTTTAAATATAATTAGGGCATTTGTAGGAGTTATGGTGCAAATCAGTCTTCTGTGGCAGGTTAATTTCTTTGATTAATAAAGTTTTAGAAGCTTCTCATCACATTGTGGCTGTTGATGAAACCTCTCTGGTTATACTTTGAACAATTGAGCTATTTTGAGATTGCATGCTCTCTACAGTATTATCTTCTCTGGTTTACCCATTAGAATTTTAAATGATCCAGTCAACAGAGCTCTTGCTGCCCCTCCAGAGAGTCTCTCCTACAATCCAATAGAAATGATGATTAGGAAACCCTTCAGGAAGAAATAAAATACTTATAAAATGTCTTGCAGCCTTCTGAGGTCTGATACAAAATTCAGAAATTTGGAATCCCTTTCTGTTTAGCAGGAGATGGCTATGTTTCATGTTTCTTCTCCTGGAAGGACAGGAGTGCTCCTTGCTGTTTGTTTTTGCTGCTTTGTGCTGTCTAATTTTTAGAATTGCTTGTCTCACAAGTTGAGTCAGGCTCTGACCAAGGAGCCAAACCTGGGCTAGGTCAGGCTCCCAAAGAGCCATAGCTGGGCTGTGCCTTGCAGGACTCTGGGATTATGAAGTTGACAGTAAATAGATTTTTTTTTTTCTGAAGAAAAAACTGTTGACTTCCATCATATATCTGCAATCAACTTGGAAGAAATACAAATTCAGCTTAGTCCTGACTTTTTGACTTCTGACAGGCTGCTTTGGAAATGAGAGCTGAGTTAAAAACGGTGGATCAAAGAGTTGGGAGAAGCTAAATGCCTGGCTAGTTGAGGTGCTTATTTGAAGGTTCTCCAAGCTTTCTGGATCTGCTGTGCCTGGTAGTGTTATGGAAACCCTTTTCCTTGGGTAGGCTGAGTGTGCTGCATGAGCTCTTCCTGCAAAAGCCAGGAGGATAACTCCTCTTGCATGCTGAAGTGTCAGGGTGTAGACAAAGCACCAGGAGTGTAAAAGGGATTTGTAATGAAAATGAATGTGAGGAATAGGAAAGTTAACCTCATGTTCCCTAAACTCTGAAAATACAAAGTTGAGCACATTAGCCTTGTTTCTAACTGTTCCTGAGAAAATCTTTGTGCAGTGACTTACATGAATTTGAACCATTCTTTGAATTGCAGATGCAGGGACATCACTTTGCAGGAAGCATTTCTGTATTTGCATTGTTCTCTTTTCTGTTTTCCTGTGTAACACATCCCAGTGACATTATTAGGCTACATGAAACAGTTGCCATGTGGAAACTGAAAGTTTTTTTAGTTTATTGATCTTTTACAGCCAACAGGAGTAGAATAGAGCAAGGAAACAGAAATCTTTTCTTTCAGGAAGAAGCTCAAAAGAATTTTTTCGACTGGAGCCACTTCATTATCATACCACATCATTTCATTTTCTTAGCTTTGCAAAAGGCACAGTGCCTGAGATTTTGAAATGTTAGTATTGCTTCCCTGAAAGATTTATTTTTAAACATATGATTGTCAGGAAGAAAGAGTGCTCATGAGCAGAAGTCATTGGGAAAACAAAAACAGTTGGGAAATGGAACACCTTTGTGTTTGTAAAGTCAAACAATTCTGGGGGAAGCGAGGTGTTTTGAAGAGGACATTGGAATGAATTGCCCTAGCATGTTGTTCTGGCAGTCTGTAGACAGATTAATTGGCAGCACACAGCAGCCTGTTGCAATCCAGGGTTCACAGTTAGTTCTGACCACATGAGTGATGGACGGGGTGTTAGCAGGGTTGGACAAAACAGTCTGGACAAGAACACAAACTGCTGCCCAAGGATCATGCTTAATTCAGGCTGAACCTTTCCCAAGGCCTGAGTCAGTTTGAACTGTAGGATGTTTTTTCTTGCCCTATGGGCTGCTTCCTAAAATACTGCCTTGTAAAAAAGAAACAGAGCAAAGCCATCCATGTCTCTGCACTTGGATTGCAGGCTAGAAATAGAGTGCTACAGTAAATGCATTGCAAAAGAGCATGTGTCACCTAAACTTCAGGCCAGCTTTGCAGCCCCAGGAACACAGAGAGTTGAAGTTTTCTTCAGATGTGCAGCCAGTTTTATCATGCCTAACTAAGCCAATCTTTTCAACACTATGGAGTTTGCTTATCACTAGTTAATGAGCAAGTTTTGAAAAGGACTTTATGGCAGAGTCTGTAACCCTGTCTCTTGTAGAAGAAGCATTGTTATTTATTCTTCAATACATGGCTCAGTAAACTCTTGTGTATAGTTATCTAGCTTCCCTAAAAACCTCCTAAATAATGTCCAAACTTTGGAGTTACAACATTTAATTATTTTCCTGATCCAAATCCTGTCATCCTGCCCATATAGGACAAAACCACACTGGAGACCCTGACCCAGCAGCTGGCAGTAAAGCAGAGTGAAGATGGGAAGTTCAGCCACGCAATGATGGATTTCAACATGAGTGGAGATTCTGATGGTCAGTACCAATGATTTTCCTGATTTCCAGGTTTGTGTGTGTGTGTGTCAATGGGATCTGAGGGAGAATCCAGTGCTTTGGAGGCCCATGAGGAATACAAGCTGTTAGCAATAAATGGCTTTGAAACAAGGCAGGAGGAAGTGATTCATCGTGGGGTGTTTAAAGTCTGGGGATGATTTTTAACCTTCCCTCTGTCCACTGAAGGTCTCAAGATGGGACCAAAAATGTATTTCTGATAATAGAAGGGACTAAAGGAGGCAAATATATGTTGGGTAAATGAGATCACATAGGGAAGCCATGAAGTGTAGACCTGATCCTCCATAAGTGTTGTGTCCTCTGCATCTGTGGGGGCTTTACTGGTTTGATGAAGTGAGCACAATGTTTATTTGTTTCTCTGTTATTGCATATATTGTTAAGGAGATGTAAGCACAAAAACAGGCAAGTATGTAAATTTTGCTAGTTAGAGAATTGCTTAAGAAGAAATGCCCAGTATTGCCATCTATCATGCCCTTTCTGTCACAGAAACGTGTCACTCTGGTTTTTTAAGATTTTCTAAGCCTTCTGATGTTGACATTCTTGTAGTGAACTTTCTCACACACTTTCTGTAAATGACTCATAGTTTTGCATTCCTTTATGGAAGAAGAGAAAGTTGATAGACTGTTAGTTTGACCAGTGTCATTGGAGAGGTGGCACTGTCACCCTCCAATCCACTGTCACTCTTAGAAAACTATAAATGTTGGAGTCAGAAAATAAACTTCCTTTTTCCTTCACCTTGAGAACAGCGGTGTGTGCTTGTGTTTTTTCATGTCCTATAGTGACAGAAACGTAGAAGCAAGGTGACATAATATGACCAGCATTCTGTAAGCAAGAACGGATGAAAACAAAAAGGATGAAAAAAAAGGATGAAAACAAAAACCTGCTTGATAAATACATATTTGGTTTATGTAATTAAGCAGTAAAAGATGACTTAGAAAAGCTATGCTACAAAGGGTAACACTTTGTATTTAAAAGCAATGAAAACTCCTGATCAGGTGTGTGATGCTGAATTAACGGAATAACTAAATGTGGCAATATAAGATGTATGAACCATTACATGTTGTGAATACTGCCTCATGAGGCATGCAGCAGCTGAGCTGGGTGCTGCTGGCAGAGGAGTGGAGCCCTTTTCCTTGCCTTGCAGGGAGCGCGGGGGTGTCGGAGTCGCGGATCTACCGGGAGTCGCGCGGGCGCGGCAGCAACGAGCCGCACATCAAGCGCCCCATGAACGCCTTCATGGTGTGGGCCAAGGACGAGCGCAGGAAGATCCTACAGGCCTTCCCCGACATGCACAACTCCAACATCAGCAAGATCCTAGGTAAGAGTGAGCTGGAGAAGGTTCTGACCGAGCTCAGCCGAGCGCCTGACAGAGCAGAATTGCTGCTTTTTCTCTTGCCCTTCAGTCACTGCACCAAGAACAGCGATGGGAGCTTCCCCTGTGCTGCCCAGCAGTGTGGATTAACCACACTGAAATATTCTTTGTAATTATTGAGGCTGTGGTGGCAATTTTGCCATGCACAGGGGAGAGATGGAGTAGCCTGTAGTCCCCAGATTTTCCTTTTTAGACATGGGGGTTACGTTTCTCCTTTTCCAGAGAGCAGTAACTTCACCAGACTGCCAAAGCTTCTCCAGTAGTGGTTTAGCCAGTTCATCTGTCAGTTCTCTCAGGCCCTGCAGATGCATCTCAGCAGGCCCCACAGATTGGTGCACCTGGTTACTCATTCTAGCATTAATTCTCCTATTTAAATATAGATTAGCCTGTTAATGGGGAGGGAGTCATAAAGTTCTTATATTTTCGTAGTGTAGAGCTTTAACGCACTCTTTGTTGGTGGCTGCTTGAGGGCCCACAGTGTAATTGGGAAATCAGTATTTATCCGCTCGCAGAGATTGTATTCTTTTTTAAAGGAGCTGAACCCCCTTTAAATAGCCCTTAATTCACTTAATTAGGGTTCCTGAGTTTTCCTTGGAGAAGAATTAAGAATGAACTTAGATTCATTTCAGAGGCAACCAGCTATCACCCAAACCTGATCTTCTCCTACACTTGGTGGTTCTTCATTCTTTGTACATTGAAAAGAATTTTTAAAAAACCCTGATTTCCATATTGTCTGCTCTTCACATCCTGATCACTATTTGTCTCGAGCATCGTCTGCTGAATCTCATGCCAAATTCTTCCAACTGGTCAGTATTTGATCAGGTTCTCAGGACCATGTTCTGTCCAAAGTTACTCCTCTGTACTGTGCTGGAGGATGCAGTAGGTACCAGTGAGGCTCACTGAGGCCAGTGAATTACATCTCAGCAGAAAAATAATATATCTGCAACCAAATTAGAAAGATTTTTTTTTTTACCAATAAAAACAGCTACAGGACCTAACCATCCTTCAGGCCAGTAGCTAAGCAGGGAACATGTTTACCTGTGCTGCAGATCTCACTGGTTTTGCAGGCTGCTCAAGAGATGCAGTGCAGTTTTAATGGCAGCATTAACCAGCTGCAGAGCTGGTAAATATGCCAGGTTTAGACTGGTCAGAGGTTTGAGGCTTCCCTTGATTAGAGTGGTATTATGAAAAGTTAGCAGGGGGCAAGTGGGAACGAGATAAATTGGTTGGAGAAGCAAAATGTATTGCCACGGATGGCAGATGTGATGATATTAACCCATGATTTAAAGGGTGGTACGAGATGATTGGATTAGCTATGGGAACAGGATTAGAAGGCTAAATTGGCTATGTTGATGGCAATAGAACCTTATACTGGTTAAAAGTGATTATACTGGTCAGAGGTGTATGATGTGATTAGCCGGAGGACAGGGCAGTAATAGTTTTGGTCTGGTTCTAAATTGTGAGTAGACCTGGTTAAACCTGTTTTTAAGTAATCAGCCTCAGAAATCTACAAGATCATTCTGAATGGCCCTTTTCATATAGAAAGTACAAAGGGAGCTTGATGTTTTCCCTCTTAACTGATTGTTTTGGATAACAACCTCCGACAGCACGCTGCTAATTCATTCTGCTTAAAACAGGCGCTTGAGCTGGGCTGACATTTTACGCAGTCTCTGGGGATCCTGGTTGACATTTTAAAGGGCTTCTAAGCATTTTATAATACCCTAAAATCTGGTTTTAATAAGCCATTCTGCTGAAATTGTTAACATAAGGAATCACCTTTTACTATTTGGCGCTAGATCAGGGAGATATGGAGACATCTTTTTCTGATTAGATATACAGTAGTTGGAGTAAAATGTGCAAATTCATTACAGATCCTGTTGAGGTGACAGACAGTATAGCTGACTCCAAACTCTCTGTTTTGCTGCCAGATATGGGGAAAAGCAAGGTCTGAGACAGTGAAAGATGATGTTTCTATTTCTTTACAGCATCACATTTGATTTTTTTTCTCATTCTACATGTGCGATAGAGAGGGATGTCCTGGCATCTTCCTTCTTGACAGAAACATATTACAAAGTTCTTCCCTCAGCTGCAAAAGGCCAGGCTTTTGAAGCCAGCAGGGAGCTGTCTGTTAACTGGCACAGGGTGACCAATTAAATCTCACAGTTCAACCAGATATTAGGGTGTCCTTATTAGGAAGCCACAATTTCTCTTTCCCATTTTTCCAGCAGCACTGCTACACGTTGAGGTCACAGAGCTTGTTGTCACACAGAGTAACTTAGATAGAGTTCTACCAGTCCAGGGTCATTTTTATAGTAAAATGAGAGGAGGTGCCCTTCCCAGCACTAGAATTCTCTAGGGATTATGTTTGACACTGTGGTATTATGTTTTGAGCATAAAAATGAGATACACGGATTTGTCACTAAATTCATCTGTGCATACGTTTGTCATCCATCTGTTCATTGCAACTTAAACTTGTGGATAATGGTTTTTTTAGTAAATTGTTAAAAAGTGCTAAAATGGGACTGCTGGACCCTGTCAATTTAATAATGCATTGTTTAGATATTTCGGTAAATATTTTAATAATTTCACTGAGAAATCTACGTAAAGATTTTAGGAAAAAAATGAAGTTAATGACTAGCTTCAGAAATTCTCTTGGAATGTATACATGTTTACATGAATGTGTACACATACCTATACATTCCACGAAGGGTTTGTCTATGTGAGAATGTTTTTAAACATAAAATCAGCCTGATTCAGGTACTCAGGTTGAAAAATGTCAGTCTAATGCACTGAAAGTTAGAGAATATTGCAGACAGCTGAAAAGTCTTGTCAGAGAAACTTGGCTTAAAAGCAGCAGTGAGCAGAGCTCTGAACCTTGCACGTGTGTGCCTGGAGCACAAGTGTCTGGGCAGGGGTGAGGGCATCTCTCTTCTTCCCTGGACTCAAAGATTTGCCCTCTCCAGATGTGCTGCCAGTCACACACAGCTGTGTGGGCACAGCCCTGGCTCAGCTGAGGGGCAGGAGCTGTGCTTGGTGCTGCAAAGCCTTTGAATTTGGGGTTTTTTCCTAAATACTTGGGCCACCACATCAGGGGGAGTTGTGCTGGAATCCTGCTTGTGGTTTTGCATGCATCCAGGGAGGGGAATGGACTCCTGTTTCATGGTCAAGCAGAAAAGCCCTGCATGCCTGACCCACTCAAAGCTTCCCAGCACGGATGGTGAGCAGGGAGCTCCCTCAGGTTGGTGTGCAATGTTGTGACAGTCACTGTGTCATCCACCCCCGAGTCCAGGAGGAAAGTCAGTGTCATTTTTCCAGCCACTGTCTTTGCCAGGAAAAGCTGGGAATAGTTTCTGTGCAGGAGCCCCAAGCTGCTGAGCAGGGTCCTGGTCCCAGGGGTGCTGCCCTGTGTGGCACCAGTGCCCAGGCACTCTGTGTGGGACTAAGCTAATATCAATGCCATTAAACTCCTTCCCATTCCAGGGCTAGCTGGGGGATCTCTGCATGCTGTAAACAGGATGAAAAATTATGGGTTTGAGTTCAAAGCAGTGTTTGCTGAGAAAGGCATGCCCACTGCCCCTTCTCAGGACAAAGACATCACTGTTCATACACTGCTTATCTCTGGATGTGAGGGCAGCTGGTACCAGCTCTTCTCTCTGGAAGCCCATGGAATAAAGATCCAAAGAGTAATGGGGAAAATGGTGTCCCCAGATCCTAAGGGGCCTTTCTAGAGGGAATGAAAGTGTTTTCTTTCCTGGGGAAAGGATAACTGTGCTCCCTCTACTGCAAGTCTTGGGGGTACAGTGGGATAAGACCAGCCTGAGGAGCAGCATGAGCTGACCATAAAAAATGAGGAACAAGAGGAAGTCAAGTATGACATATGGCATTATGAACCCATTAAATTGAGAAACTATTCAAACATTTTTCCAGTGGGAAACTTGACTATTTTCCAATAAAGTTTTCTTTCTAGGCCACAGGTTTCACAGCTTGAACTATTCCTGTTATTTGAAATGTATCTTACCCTGAAGCACTTCTATATTTAATGGAAAAATAAAATGGGGCAACTGATTCCAGAACTTTTACTTTCTGCTCCCATATTATATCCTTTAAGAAATATTAGTTTATAACTTTCAGCAGGCAGTTGAAAACAATTTTGAAGTCTTTAGTATATCCCTATCTCAAATATCCAGGTTAGCATAGTCAGAAAACGGGGCTGCCAGCAATGAAGCCATAGTGCAGCTCCTGGGAGAGATGTGCCAGTAGCCCAGTGCTTTTCCCTTCATGATACAGTAAATTCTTTCAGTTGGGGCTGGCAGTGTTTCCCAGCACTTGGTCCTGGAGTTAAAACCCCGCTGACACATCTGGGATAGTTTATAGTTTTCAGAGTCATTGCTTTAGGGTCTTTGCAGGCTCCTGTACCTGACTGCAGAACATTTACAGTCAGTTCCTCTCCTGACCACCAGCCTGGGAGCCAGAAAGACACAGTGTTTGTCAGAAGGATTAGGCTGTGGACTTGGGCAGATCTGATGCCTTGATCCAGCCGTGGATCACAGACAGCAGCACATGGAGTAGAGCCTTCCATGAGCAGGAGCTGTGAGCAGGCACGTGGCCAGGGGAAATGTGGGGCCACAGGAGAGCAGACTCTGTGTGTCCATCCCTCCAAAATACACTGCCTTCTTTCCTGGAACAAAGTGTCAGGGTTGCCATTGTCAGGATCGTGGTTTTACTGCCCATCTGAAAGGCTTTGTAAGGTAGATAAATTTCAGTAAAATATTGGGTCAAAATTTCCAGTGCCGCCTCTCTGTGCATCTTGGCCATCCCCAGGAGGTTTATGAGTCAAACACAAACAAGAGCAGAACCCTGTCTAGAAGCTCTGACAGATTCCCAGCCTGAAGGCAAATGGCCTTGGGTGTCTTCTTCTGGGTGACCTACTTGTTCCCCTGCCTTGGCAGCGTTTGGGGACGAGTGGCATCTCATCTCTTTTTTTTCTCTTGTTTTCTGTGTTTTGGTGGCAGGATCTCGCTGGAAAGCTATGACAAACCTAGAGAAGCAGCCATACTACGAGGAGCAGGCCCGGCTGAGCAAGCAGCACCTGGAGAAGTACCCAGACTACAAGTACAAGCCGCGGCCCAAGCGCACGTGCCTGGTGGACGGCAAGAAGCTGCGCATCGGCGAGTACAAGGCCATCATGCGCAACCGGCGCCAGGAGATGAGGCAGTACTTCAACGTCGGGTAGGGCACCTCCCACACGCCCCTCCCTTCCAAAAACTAACCAAAATCGGGGGGAAATCTTCATTCTTTATTGTAGTTTATTGGAGAGACCGTTAGGTGTTGCTGACAGGAAATGAGAGCTGTGCTGCGCAGCAAAGTGTTCCAGGAGGAGGCTGGGCAGCTTCAGGAACCTTATTGTTGGCTCTGCTTTACACTCAACACCTCAGCCACTTGTCTCATTTCCACTCTGATCATGAGAAAAAAGGCTTTAAGATTTTCCAATGAAACTTATTTCTAAAGAAATGTGCCATGTGGGCACAAGCTCTGCTGCCCAGGAGGGTCCCGTAGTGCAGGGGTTTGCAGATGGACGCGTAGCGGTCATAGCACATGCTGGTCAGGAGGGAAAACTCTGCTGCGGTGAAGAACAGAAAGAAAAAGAGCTGAGCAGTGCAACCTGTGTAGGAGATGTCCCTGGTGTCCCAGAGGGAATTGTGCGTGGCTTTGGGGACAGTGGTGCAGATGGAGCCCAGGTCACTGAGGGCCAGGTTGAAGAAATAAGTCTTCTAGTAATAAGTCTTCTAGTAAAGCCTTACAGCCATTAAGAGGCCTCAGAGAGAGTATCTGAAGTAATCTGTGGTAGTGCCTCAGGATCCAAAAGCAAAAAAAGTTGGCATTCAGTAGGATCTGTGGCAAGTGGTCTGCAAAAGGACTGCTGAGCACACTGAACTTGAGCTGAAATATGGACATGGCTCAGTTCATTGATGCCAAGCTGTGTTCCCATCATGTCTGCATTGTTCATTTCTCCTTCCAGGGAGTGTCTTACAGTCCAGCAAGTTAAAGGCTTTCTGTTGAGCAGAAATTTTAAGGCCAGTTCTGATAAACAGCTAATAGATCAGTTTGATATGATTAGAATAAAATATGCCTAGAAGACTAGCATATATTTTCCCTCTGCAGATATTCCTTGGTGTTAGTTACAGCAGATCAAAAAGAATCCGAAGTAATCAAATATTCCACGATATTTCTGTACTCATGTGTGAAAATTAAAAGCTACACAGGGATCCTAAAAAACCAGGCAAAACCAGCAACAAGAGTGACCCCCTGAAATAATGGAATTTGTGTTCTTTTTCATCTGAGTTTGGAATCCTTTCTGTATTAATTGGGTTGCACATCTCTTCAGTTAATGGCTGGAAGTAGCAATAAAGGAGAGAGCATCTATCCAGTGACTGTTAAGTGTCAGCAGCCTGTGTTTTAAACAGCTACAGTGTGCATTGTTAGAATAAGCTGCTCAGCAGAGAAATTTGAGCTGCTTAACCCTGTGGTGCTGGCAGGTCCAGTGATCCCAGTGGTAAGCACTGAAACAAACACAGGGAAGTCAGCCAACATTTGGCATCAAGAGATTAAAAAAGAGGAGGAGGCCTTATGGAAAAAGAATAGGTGGCAACAGAGCCCCCCAAACGCTGCTTATCTGGTTAACATGCATGCCTCATCATGGGGAAAAATTAACCTTGTAACATTCTGCCTACAGAAATTCAGCTTTCCAAACAGGGCTGACATTGAAATCAAGATGTTTCTGGAGGTAATTTGCACTGGGGCAGAACCCAGGGTGAAATCTTTCTGGAGGCAGTTGGCAGAGTGGCCCGTGGCTGCAGGCACCAGTCCCAGCATTGCATTCCTGGTTTAGAGGGGTTATTTAGGTGGGTTTAGGTGCCCCATCTGTTGCATCCACCCGTACAGGTCATTTAGGGCTAAACTCCCCAACACCAGGCCAGCTCCTGCCTGGGCACCACAGTAAGGGCTTGGTTTAGCAGGAGCTGTGGCTGTGCTGGAGGCATCCCAGTGGGAAGGACTGGGAATTTTTTAATGTTCCCTATTTCAGTGTCCTCATCTTCAGTGGTAGCGTGTCAGGCAGGGCCTGCTGAGAGCCCTAATACAGTAGTGTCTGAGGACTGCTGCAAGATCCTCTAGGCTGGACATCCCATAGAGGTGGAAAAATACTATTCTTAAATTATTTAATATTTGAAAAGCATTCTGAAAAGCACCATTTAAGTGCAAAGTGTTCCTATTGTTAAATATTAAAACCAATTTAAGTGTGCTGAATCTTGTTGCAGGGATGCTGACTCCAGAAAACAAAAGCCTTCCTCCTGAATTAAGAATAAAATGCAAATTAGATCTGCTCCCTACTTTAAGAGCTGTATCTTCAGCTGAGACAACTTGGATTGTTTCAGAAACGTGGAAATAGGGGCTCTGTGGAGGGAGGCCTTGCTTGGATGGCAGGCAGGAAGTATCTGAAAATGCAGCAAGCAATTCCAAACAAGTATAAAGCTGCTTGGCAGAGGAGAGCCTTTCAGGATCATTGTACTGTGTGAGGCTTACTGTGCAGCCAGGGCACAGGCAGGCAGGGGAACAGGGAAGGGTTTCATTCTTAATTAAGAATGTTCATCTCAAGAGACTCTGCCCTGTCTCCTGTGGCAAGGCTTTTCAGTGCAGATGGACACACCGCTGATGACATTACAATGTGCAGCATGTACTGAACAGAATTACTGCAATGGAATTACTTCATGCAGGAAGGCAACAAAAGCAGCATGAATTTTAAACCTCTGGGCTTGTCAGGACTCTGAGGCTTCTCAGGGAAAGAAACACTGGTATAACACAGCTAGTGTTCTTGATGCTGAGGGAATTTCTGTGCCCTGGAATAATTCTTCTTTCATTACTGCAGACAGGTTTCCAAGGCTTAGACGCTGTGTAAAGGCATCCTGTAGGAAATTTTCTCAAATGCTCTTGTTGTTTCCTTGCTTTTTATTTATTTTTCAGTAATGCCCGCTTCCGTTTTAAGTCTGCCTTCTCCCAGTTTTATCCACCTTCCTTCAGAGAATCTGCTTTTCACAAGGGCTGCTCCCAGTGGAAGCTCTCACTTTGCATTGGGAGGCTTTTAGTGACCCATCCTGTAAACTCATCCTGGCTCCAGAAAGCCCACTGTTCCTCTCCCTGGTAATGAGCAGGTCCCTGAAGGAATGTGGAGGAAGCATTGTCTCTGCTCTCTCCTCACCCAGAGGCATTTTCCTGCAGCACCTTCCCGATCCTGTGCAGTCTACCTAGGCCTTGCTGCCTCTCTCCTATTGGCAGTTTATGTCTAGTTACTGTGACTCTAATGTCCACTCCTGATAGCAGGCTGGATTTTTTAAAAGGAAGCTTTTCAAAATACTTGGGGTTTAAGTTGGACCACAGCTGGCAAGCATGTTTATTTTTGGGTGGCACCAAGCTGATGCAGAAAAGAAGTTTCCCTCACAAGCAGGCAAGCTGAAGCTGTGTAGGTCAGGTACAGCTAGAGATGGGGTTTTCTTATCAGTGGAGTTGGTTTGGGTTCGTTTGTGTAGCTCAGGTACAGCTAGAGATGCTTTCAGAAGTGGGGTTTTGTTATCAGTGGAGTTGATTTGGGTTTGTTTGTCAAGCATGGCTCAGTGAATTTCAGGTGCAAGAATTCCTGTGCAGGCCCAAGAGTAGCCACTGTTGAACTCGCCCTCCTTGTGTTCCATGCAGCTTTCCAACCCCCTGCACTCTCTCCTGTTGTTTTGGTTTTTTAAGTTTTTTTTAAGTTTTTTGATGTTTATATTTTTGTAACGCATTTTTTTATGTACTTAGTGTAAATTATTTATTGTTTTGCATTTTTTTATGGAGGAGGAGAAGTTTGATGGATTGTTGGTTAGTTTAGTCATTGGAGAGGTGGCACTGTCATTTTTCAATTTCCGGCCACTTTTGGAAATCTATGAATATTGAAGTCAGAAATTAAACTTCCTTCTTTTTCACCTTAGAAAGTTGCATGTCCGGGTCACTTTATTTCATGTCCCCTAACAGTGCTGTCTCCCAGCAGGCAACAGGCGCAGCTGCCGCTGTTGTGTACTTAATGTAATAATTTATTGTTTTGTGGTTTTTTATGGAGGAGGAGAAATTCAATGGATTGTTGGTTAGTTAATGTCATTGGAGAGGTATCATTTTTTAATTTACTGTCACTTTTGGAAATCCATGAATATTGGAGTCAGAAATGAAACTCCCTTCTGTTTTACCGCAGGAAGTCGCGTGTCCACGTTGTTTTATTTTGTATCCTCTAACAGTGCTCTCCTCCCAGCAGGCAACAGGCACAGCTGCTGCTGTTATGTACTTAATGTAAATAATTTATTGTTTTGTGGTTCTTTATGGAGGAGGAGAAATTTGATGGATTGTTGGTTTGTTTAGTATCACTGGAGAGGTTTTACTGCCGCTTTTGGAAATCCATGAATGTTGGATTTCAAGAAATGAAAACACAGAAATGAAATGAAACTCCCTTCTGTTTTACCGCAGGAAGTCGCGTGTCCAGGTTGTTCCATTTGCCATCCCTAACAGCTCTCTCTCCCGGCAGGCAACAGGCGCAGCTGCCGCTGGCCACGGCGGGCGTGGTGTACCCGGGAGCCATCGCCATGGCGGGCATGCCCTCGCCCCACCTTCCCTCGGAGCACTCGAGCGTGTCCAGCAGCCCCGAGCCCGGCCTGCCCGCGCTCCCCGGCGCCTACGGGCCCAAGGGCGACGAGCCGCTCGTCAAGGAGGAGCTGCAGCCCGACGAGGCCAACGGCGACGTCTACGACGACTACGACGAGGAGGAGGAGGACCCCGATGCAGACTATGGCAGTGACAGTGAAAACCACATGGCGGGCCAGGCCAACTGATCGGGGCCGCCGCTCGCCCGCGGGACTTCAAGGAGGAAAGGAAACGGATCAATCAATAAAGCCCCATCTGGTTTATCCTTGCCAGTGGCCAAGCACATTAACTTTCTCATACACTGACTGTTACTTTAACTGTTAGTCTTAACTAGTTGGGACATCAGCTGACTAATAGACATCAGCCTGCATCAGAGGAAAAAAGGCTCAGAAGAAAGGAAACGAAGACGACGACGACAACAACAGAATGATATAAGCTATGGGTAAAATAATGCCAGTAATTCAGCTGCTATACCCAAGCACTGAAGTCTTACCCGTTGACCTTTTATTATTATTATTTTTTTTTCAAATAAACTTTATGGCTGTTTGTTCTACAATGTTCTAGAAATTCTCACTCAGGTACACAGTGCCAACAAGTGGCTTGTGAATGTGTTTTGTTGTTTTGTGCTACAGTTTAAAGAGAAATAATTTTTTTTTTTTTTGGTAATGCACCTGACAGGAAAAAAAAAAGATAAAATTCCTTTTAACCCCCTCTGTCTCCTCCTCCTCCTCCTCTTCTTCCTCTTCCTCCTCCTCCTCCTCCTCCCTGTCAAATCTGGGTCAGAAGTGTGTGTGTGTGCGTGCCTGTGCGCGTGGCTGGCAAGGAAGGAAGTGGGGAGTCTTTCTGTTAACCCCAACAAGCATTTCCTTTCAAGAGAGGACTTCTCTTCATCAGTTGCACACCATACTGAGTCTTTGAGCAAGTGCCAAATTTGTACTAAAGCGCTGAACTAGTCCAATTTGCTTTTTTTGGGTTGGTCTCTTCTTGTTTTGTTTTTCTTTGGCTTTTCATTTGCTTCTTGCTCTGTCTTAAGTTAGGACAGTGTTATATCTTAGACAATCCCTTGAAGAACCTGATATACCAGCAGCTGGTGAGATTAGACATATATTTTTGCTTTTGCTTTTGCTTTTTAAAGGAAACTGTAGGTGCTGTTCTCAGGTGAAAAAAAAAAAAAAGAGAGAGAGAGACATAAGAAATTTAGAGAAAAAATATTTTATGGTCTTGGATTTTCATGTGTGCGTGTTTATGGTACTAATAAGAATAATCTTGGACTATCGTGAGCAAAAAGCATGTTCCAGAATGAAGCCCTGCACCGTCCAAGGGACTTGGTCTGTAAGAACCCTTTACTTTTAGTTTGCACTTCAAGTGGCAGCATAAACAACATAAAAGGCTTGTCCAAAATGGGGTTTGTTCTGCATGGGACACTGGAAATGTTACCAAGTGCTGAGCATCATTAAGTTGCCACCACCCGGGCCCAGTTCTGATGAACTCCTCCCTTCAGGGTAGCTGAGTGCTCATCTCTGATTCAAAAGGCAATTTTTTTTTCCACTGACTTCTTTTTCTCCTGTGCACTGGCAGAAATTCTTCTTTTACCAGTGGGATGTTTGTGTGGGAAGGAAGGCTGATGGCTGTGAGGAGATTTCCAAATTCCAGGTGGGGTTACAAGAACTCAGACTGGTGCAGGGCTGAGTTTCCCTCGCTGCTGCCTCTCACAGCTGGAAAATCATTCTCTGTGCTAAACTATTTCCATTCTTGATGTGGAGCACTCCCATGGCTTGGGCAGCTCTGCCTTCCTTGGGCAGCATCAGCGTGAGGAAGGGGTCTGGGAGCTGCTCTGGAAGGTCTTGGCATCGTGCTGGGGCAAAACCTTCCTCTGAATTGTTTCTTCAGCTGAGGATGCCAGCCCTGTGCTGCTTCCCAGTAAATTCCTGTCCCAGAGGGAGCTGCATTGCTGTTGTTAGCCCCTCTAACTTGTAAAGTCAGCCCCACACCCCTCAGTGGCAGTGCCAGCCCAGGCACTCACAGAACCCTGCTCAGCACTGCTTTGCAGCCCTGATTTTGTAATCAGTCCCTCAATCAGGCAAATTCAGCCCTTGGTGCCAGGTGCAGGACCATGAACAGGACAGGTAGGAGGGGGGGCTGCCTTTCTTTGCCTCTTGGAATCCCACTTGAAGTGTAACCTGACCTCTGCAGACCTGTGCAAAGCAAAAAGCAAATGCCATTGAACACTTAGGACAATACTCCCATGTTTGGGCATGTGACAGTTGCACCCTGCTACATCTCTTTTCTTTTCTTCTGTTTTCCCCGTTTTGATTTCCACCTCTGCTTTGAAAAATTCTTTTCTATTTTCTCTCTCTCAGAAGATTTGCTCTGAAATTATGCTTGGAGTAGCTGATCATATCCTCCGTGTCAGAGAGGGTTCTTTTCTGTTTGTATTTTATGACTGTGTTGGGGTTTGTTTTTTTTCAGTTGAACTGCCTCTTCTTGCTAGTGTTGAATGGTAATTATAATAATAATAATAATGGTCAGCTGTTCCCAGATTAGTAAATTATGTATAATTTATTTACACCCCCCCCTTTTTTAACTTTATTTTATTCTGTTCTAATTTGGCAGTGCAGCAAATGAAGCTGTTAGGCTATTTAAAATGGATACCCCTCCCCACCTTACCTTTTTATATATATATAAATATATATATATATACATATGAAAACAAATCGCTTCTTCTTCTGCTCACACCATTTCTCTTTCTTTTATTTTAATTTTGGCCCCAGCCATGTCAACTTCTGATGTTTATTATGATGGAGTGAATTAATGGGAGTGTTGTTTTCAATCTTAATTAACTTCTGCTCTCTCATCACTCATTTTAGTTATTTAATTACACCAGTCATCTAGAGCCAATTTTTTTGAAGCACTCTGTTTGGATAAGAAGGAAGAAAAAAAAATAGACAATTGTTTTTATATCATTACTATGTACAATGTGAAAACAGATATTTGCTCCTTTTTATTTTATTTTTTTTAAAACGTTCAAATTCGTTCCCTGTCTTTGTGAACAAATGACTTCTGACTCTCGTGGGTTCGCCTCACATTTGCTGGATGCTTGATTTCCACCCCAGTTAAGCTGAGAGACTCTGGTTTAACTGTGTCACTCTGGGCCACTTTGTTTTAGCTCCAGGTGGGTGCCAGGGGAGCTTGGAGCAAGCCTTGAGCTGGCAGGGCTGGGTGGGAAGGGGCCCTTGGGCTTCAGTGGGACCAAGCTCCAGCCCTGGATGCCCTGGGAGAGGCTGCTGGGGGCACCAGGGGTGGGCAGTGCCTGGTGTCCCCAGTTTGGTGTCCATGGGCTCCAGAGATGGGACAGTGCCAGCTGTCCCCATCCTGGTGTCCCCAGCCTGGTGTCCCTGGCACAGTGGGGTCAGACAAAGCCCTCCCCATCTCTCCCAGCTGTCCCCCTGCTCCAGCCAGGGCTGACAATTCCGTGCACATTCCCTTGGAGAGGCTGTGCCCAGCCTGCCCTTCCCTGGGGCTGTGGGAATGGGCTGCTGTAGCAGACTGTCCCCCTCCTCCACCTTTGGGATGTTGAAACCGATGCAGAAATGGTAAAAAGTAAAAAAAAAACGAGGCCGAAAGATGAAAACATAAATTTTTCAGAGATGGGTCTGGGGTTCCAAACCAGCAAAATGCTTAATGCCCATGCTAATGTTTTCTGAGGTCCAAGGATGAGCACCCACATATCCTTCAGCAGTAGAAGACCAGATTTGAAAATAGGGTACTGTTTGTCCCTCTTGAATTTTATGGGGAAAGAAAACCTAAAAAACAAAAAAGCAAAATAATGCATTTATAAAAATTATCTTGTCTTGTTTCTTTTTGTTTTTTTTTCTTTTTCCTGGGCTCTGTGCCCTGGAGCACGTAGAAAAACCAGGTTAGAAGAGATGAGGATTTATTAACCTAGAAGCTCACGGAGGCCCTGATGCCAGGGTGGGCTCTGTTCCCCTGTTCCCTGGAAGCTGGAGAGGCAGGATGCTCCTGGGGGGCTGCCTGGCACCTCCTCCTGAATGGGGGAAGCCACCGTGCATCCTGGGAGCTCGAGGAAAAGCATCTCCAGCAGTGGGGAAAAGGGGAAAAGAAAGGAAAAAAACTGAGGCACTTGCTTCTAAGCTCAATTAAATAACACAGAGTATATCCTTTTTTCCATTTATTCATGCCTTATATTAGTAAAATAGGATTTTTAAGTGCATTTAACATCTTTATCTAACCGTTCCGCTGTATTAATCAGGCCCCCAGAAAAGAACACTAGCTATTATTATAGCATTTAATTAGTTTTGTAACCAAATCCTCTTATTATGAATGCATATGGAAGAAATTCTTTCTTCGAAGACATTATTTCAAAGATTTGGTTACTGCAGTAGACTGTCTTTAATTAAATCATTTTTTAGAAAGTAAATTGTCTTTAACCTTTTTACAGCACATTTTCAGAGCTTTTTCTTTTTAATCCAAAGAGATGAGCTGTTATTGTCCCCGAAGAAGCCTCTGACATCACATTTGTAGCATCAGAAGTAATTACACTCCGTGGCAATGTAGGTCTGAGCAGGAATTCGTGTGCTGCCAGGAGAGGCAGCTGTGGGGCAGCGGGGCAGGTGTGTGGCACAGGAACCTCCTTTGTCTGACCACTGCTGGTAGAACCATCCCTTGCATTCTGCAGAGAACTCTGTCATTCACTCGATGTGGATCCAAGTGTATCCTCAATTCACAGGGCATGGGCTGTCTGTTTAGCTTGGTTTATATTTACATTTTTTCGACTTTATCTTAACTTGTCAGTTTCCCAGATTGAAGAACGTGTCAAGTTCGTTTTTTTCTACTGACTGATTTCTCTACTCCCCAGTGTTTTTTGTCACTGGTTTGCTGAAACAGTATTTATATAGCTCCATTGGCTCTAAAGCTCTTACTCCTTCTAACGTTTTGGATTTTACAAGTGAAATGAAAATAGAAAAGAAATAGAGACAATCAAATGCCTGGAGCTTAAAACAAAGTATGTGCAACCTACCATCTCACTTGAAATTTAATAAAAGAAATAATTATGTAAATATAACATAGAGTTATAGATTTATATTTTGTTCATAACACATAGTGTAATATAAGTTGTATATTTTCATGTTTTGGTTTTATGTTATCATTCATGCCACAATAAATGAAAAAAAACAGGAGTTGATGTACTCTTTAAAAAAAATACGATGTGGATCGCCACCATCCTGGGTTTTCGGTTTTGGTTTTTGGGTTTTTTGTTTCTTTTGCATTCCCCTTTTTCAGTATTACTGCCCTGCAAGGCACCAATAAAACAGCAAATGTGTTCTTTACCTATCCTGTGGTCTGTTTCCCACTTCTTACAGCAAAGGGCGTGCTGGCCAACCTTCCTGCCAGGGGAGCAAAACACCTGGGCTCCAGCAGCAGCAGCAAATGAGATGTAGACTCAGCTTAGCAGGCTGCTCCAGGATTGAAGATTTTCATCAAAGCACAGGACAGAAATCACCTCCCCCTCCAAACCCAGGTGTCAGAGCA